ACTGAAGAAAATTAAAACAAGTCCACAAGAGCCTAAATATTGACCTTCAGTATATTCCACTTGAATTTAGAGACTATCTTCAAGTATAGACTTGATGCATTAGACTGAAGATCAAAAGAGCTGTAGGTTGACATCAAGAACATCATATACGAGAAAGCAAAAGATCATTACAAAAACAAGAAAGAAATAGAAAACTAAAATGGATGTCAGGAGAGACTCTGAAACTTGCATTTGAATGTTGAGACTCTAAAGCAACTGGAAGTCTTGAAGTAAAAGAGCTAAACAGAAAATTTCAAAGATTAAGAAGATAAAATCATATATTATAATGAAATGTGCAAAGGCTTGGAGTTAGAACACCAAAAGGGGAGAAAATACTCAGCTTTCCTCAAGTTGAAAGAACTGAAGAAAAAATTCAAACCTCTGCAAATTGAAAGATTTTATGGACAAAATATTGAATGATGCAGAAAGCATCAAAAGAAGATGGAAGGAATACACAGAGCCACTGTACCAAAAAGAATTGGTTATTGTTTAAGAGGTAGTATATGATCAAGAACTGATAGCATGGAAGGAAGAAGTCCAAGCTGTGTTGAAGGCCTTGGTGAAAAGGCTCCAGGAATTGACGAATGTAAATTAAAATCTGTCAGCAAAATGACATAGCACTGGAGGCACTCATTCATCTTTGTCAAGAAAGACTAGTCAACCGACTGGAGGAGAGCCATATTTTTGCCCATTCCAAAGAAAGGTGACCCAGCAGAATGCAGAAATCATCAAACAATATTATTAGTATCATAGGTAAGTATAATTTTGCTGAAGATAATTAAAAAATGATTAAAAGCAGTACATCGACATGGAGCTGCTAAAAATTCAAGCCAGATTCAGAAAGGATGTGGAATGAGGAATATTATTGCTGGATCTTGGCTGAAAGCAGAGAATACCAGAAAGTTGTTAACTTGTGCTTTATTGACTATGCAGAGGAATTTAACCGTGGATCATCACAAACTATGGATACTATTGCAAGGAATGAGTACTCCAGAGCACATAATTGTGCTCATGAGAAAAGTGTACGAAGAGGCAGTTTTTCAGATATAATAAGGGGATTCTGAGTGGTTTAAATTAGGAAAGGTGTATGCCAGGGTTATATCCTTTCACCATACTTATTAAATGCTGAGCTAATCTGAGTAACTGGATTATATGAAGAAGAACATGGCATCAGAATTGAAGGATGACTCATGAACAACTTGCAATATGCAGATGATATAACCTTGCTTGCTGGAAATGAAGAGGACTTAAAATACTGATAAAGATCAAAGACTTTAGTATGGATTGCACCTCAATGTAAAATTAAAATCCCCACAACTGCCTCAATAAATAACATGATAAATGGAGACAAGATTGATATTGTCAAAGATTTCATTTTGCTTGGGTTCACAATCAACACTCATGGAAGTACCAGTCAAGAAATCAAATAGTATATTGCATTAGGCAAATCTGCTTTCCAAGATCTCTTTAAAGTGTTAAAGAGGAAAGATGTCAGTTTGAGGACTGAGGTGCGTCTGACCCAAACCATGGTATTTTCAGTAGACTCATATGCATGTGAAAGACAGTGAATAAAGAAGACCATAGATGAGTTGATACATTTGAATTATGGTGTTGGCAAAGAATATGGCAAGTACCATGAACTACAAGAAGACAAAAGAGATCTGTTTTGGAAAGAGAATGGCCAAATCGCTTCTTAGAAATGAGGATGCCAAGACTTTGTTTCTCATACTTTGGACAAGTTATCTGGAGGGGCCAGTCTGTGGAGAAGGGCATCATGCTTGGTAAAGTGGAGGGTCAGTGAAAAAGAAGAAGACCCCTATGGTATGGATTAGAACAGTGGCAGTAACAGTGGGCTCAAACATAATAACATTTACAAAGATGGCACAGGACAGAGCAGTATTTCATATATTGTACATAGGGTTGCAATGAGTCCTAACCAATTTGACTGCACCTAACAACAGGGATAGAAGGAGAGGGAGTATTGCTTATGGAGCACTGAATTTTGGTTTTGGTTTATGATGATGGAAGAATTGAATTGAAGGTACAGTTACACAGCCAATTAATGTAATTGCTATCAATGTTTTACACCTGTGAAAAATTGACTAGGTAAAAATTATGTGGTTAATATACCAACAACAACAACCACTGAAAGAGAACAGCTGCTCAGGCTGCTTATGTACCACAAAACACCTCGTAGAGGCTTGGGGACATGGTTTGATGGAACATTCCGGTTAATTGACTTAATATTGTGTTCAGTACTTTTGTTGCCTGCTTCCTTATGTAGTGTCTGGGGTCTTAAAAGATGACAAGATGTTATCCAAGGCACAAGAATTGATCTCTATTTGCCTGGAGCAAGAGAGGAAGAAGGTGAACTAGCACTAAGAAGAAGAAAGATTTTACTTTGAGGACTAGGGTGCACTTGTTCCAACTCAGGGTATTTCAAGTCGCCTTATACATATGTGAATGCTGGACAATGAATAAGGAAGCCCAGAGGAGAATTATTGCATTTGGATTATGGTTTTGGCAAAAAATATTGAAAATACCTTAGAGTGCTGAAAGATAAAAGCACATCTGTGTTGGAAGAAGTATAGCCAGCAAGGGGGCGGGGGGAGGGGAACAACTACAACCATAATGCTCCATAGAAGTAAGGATGGTGAGACTTCATCTCATTGTGTTTAGTAAACTAGAGAGTCAGCACAAAAAACAATCCTCAATGAGATGGATTCACACAGACGCAGCAACAATGGGCTTAAACATAGTAATAACTGGTGATGGTGTAGAACTAGTCAGTGTTTCATTCTATTGTACATAAGAACCAACTCACTGGCACCTCACAATGAGAACAGTAACAATTATACAGGATCAAACTGATAACAACAACTCAGAAGATTAGATAGGAAATTTAGAATGCAGAATACTAATGCGCCAGACTGCAAAGCCATTTGAACTGCAAGGTTGGCAGTTCAAGATCACCAGCAACTCCTCAGGAACCCTATACAGGGGCGCTATGGGTTGGAACCGACTCAACGGCACTTAACAACAACAAGATAGTTGATAAGGATCACAGTAAAACCCATAACCTTTGTTTTCATAGTTTTGTATTCATCAAATGAGCAGTATTTTCCAATTATTATTTTTTTTTTTTACAGCATTTATTGTAAATTGAGTGATAGTTTACATGGGAGAACATCGGTTTTATACTCAACCTATCATATTTTGTTTCATTGCAATGAATGCAATCTCCTCCATGCATCATCGGCTAACAGTAGTTACGTCTATTCCCTGTTTGTGTGTTTTTTTGATGTACATGAAAACACACAGGAATATATAATCATTTAAACATCCAAAGGACACATTTTGCAAGTCAGCCTCCTGGCCACCAGCACACAGCCTTTCTATTTCCATGAATCTAGAGTCCTCAGCTGCTCTATCTCTACATACTATCATCTCTGCTTCCATCTCTGATGTCAGTGCTTCTCTGGTTAGGGTCCCATGCTACGCTCATGCTCTTCTCTCTTGATTGTTCCTAGGGTTTTCTGTTCCTGGAATATAAGATTAACTGCTCCCCCCTTTATGTTATACAACCTCTACCTTTACAGTTGTGACGATCACAGTTAGTCATGATAACAATTACTCAATATTGGTTCAAAAGAATCCTATCCCCATCACCTTTCACCAGACCCATCTAGACAAGATGAAAACTATT